TTGCCATTCTTTTTCAAATAAGCATTTTGGTTGGGCAGAAAGAGAAGAAGAAGCCATAGCAGTATCAGAACACAACTGTCCTTTTTAAATCTATTGACAAACTAAAACAGGACTGGAAACCTTTAACTTAGCAAATTGCAGGCTTGTTAAAATGCTGAGATGTTTGATTTCTTATTCCAAGTTCTATGCCATCCACATATTCTAGCTCTTTTAATTCCCAGTGAGGTCTGCTGGTCCCCAAGGTGTTCTTCTGGAGATCAAGAGTGGCCTCCAGTCAAAGCAGACAAGAAACATTTGGTTGTGGAGTCCTTGAAGATTTAATCAGATTCAGAAAAATATCACTGATCCCTGCAGGGAGACTGTTTTGTAAGAACTGCTCAAGATTGTGGAAATATTCAAATTATGCAGAGGTGCAAAAAATACATGAAAGCACTGGGGTACACTGCCTCCACTGGGCCTGTTTGGGGTTATTGTCAATCAGAAGATGACCTAAGGCAAATTAAGATTTCTTTGTGAATTAACAGAGGCCAAGTGCATGCTAAATGAAAAATGTAAAAAAAAAAAAAAAAGATAAATAATATGCAAATTATGCATTTTTGAGGGCCCTTGGAGCATGGAGGGGGAGATAGCCAAATCTATATTTTAGAAGTCACACTACCTTCTAAAATATAGAAGCTAGAAACACATATATAATATATGTGTTTAGACAACAATTATGTGTTGTCTAAACACATAATTGTGTTTAGATAACACAATTGTGGTGTTGTCTAAAAAAACAAAAAAAAAGAAACAATAACTCCGGTTTCACAGGTGTCTTACTTCAAACACAATTAAAAATTGGGTTAATTGTTAATTTTATATGCAGCAGTAAACCCTTGGGAATGGAAGAAATATGAAACATTATAGGGTCTTCCTGCCGCTTGCAGTCCTCCGAGTCAAATGATATTATCTTGTGTCTTTATCATGGAGGAGATCTAATATACCCCAGTGTGCCTGGCGTATTCTGATTAATAAATAATAGATGACTTACCATTAAATTAAAAACAGCCTATTCATCTCATGCTTTTATTTAAACTTGTTAAGGCTTCTAGACAACTCTTGTTCATCTGATGTCTCTCTAACTACTTCTCTGAGAGTGTGGCGAACAGAAAAGGCGTGATTTCTTCAACACAAACGTTTGGTTTGTTGTGTCAGGACAGAGATTTGGTGTTTTTAATCAAACATTGGCTAAAAAAAATATGATCCAGTTTGTACAGGCCACAAGGAGCGTCTTCATTCCACACTGATTACCATTTTGAACCTCTCAGTGACTTCTTCCACAACATGACAATAGAACAACAAAAAAAATCTGCTCATTAATGCTGATGTCAGTGGACTGTGGTAATGATATTTTTGCAGGCAAACCTCACAATCCAAATTGGCAATCCAAGTTAGCTTTTGCATTCATGCACCAGAGGAGTCCTCAGAACAGGCTAACCATCCAATCAGAGGTGGGGTCTAGCAAGTGTGTCGGCATGTCCGACTGCACAGAGGAAGTAGATTATGGGGTTGTTTGTAAATCACAGAAGACTATGAAGACCGAAAATGTGGACAACTGTGGAGAATTTTACTTTCATAACTAAAATGTTTTTTTACATTTGAGGTCGCAAACATTTGATCAGTCTAGTTTAATACAAACACAATGTCTCATTCAGGATTTAATACACAAACTACAATCTAAACAGTGACTAATGGAAATAAAAATGCTTCTGTGTGTTGTTTTCTTTATTGATTTGCTCAGGAACCCCATTGGCTATCGTTGTGACAATGCCTACTCTTCCTTTGGTCAACATAATAAAAACACATTTAGTAAGAGGTTGATCCAAATGGGATTGCAAGGATATTTATATTCATTTATTACATAGGTGAAAGGCCAAATTCGATCATTGTCTTTATACTAACACAACTTATTTGCGCTAAATTAACCTAATCTGTATTGGATGGTATTTGACCCATTAGCAAAATAACACAAAGTAGGTTGTTTCTTGGAGTGCAAAAAGTTTAAAAAAAAACATACAGACTGAGTAGAAAAGAACTATGAAAGGAAGAGGACTGACAGGGAAACTGTGTGAAAGCTGTGAGAACTCCAAATGTGAGTAAGTGTTAAAGATAGTTTTACAAGTTGAGCCGTCATGGGCATAAATCGTGATGGTCTGCGGCCTTTGCAGAAGGAAATTAATCATTGTCTCAGCAAACAATGAAAGTGGACTCATGTGTACTTTAGCTATTCCAACAATAGTGTTTATAGTTTGTAACCAAACATAAGCCACATAAGTAATTCAGCCTAAAAAGATGCAGGGCTTGAAATGATGCCAGCATTATTGTGGTTTGAACCAAACCAACTAAGCGCGTCCGTCCATAAGATTAAGAATGTTTCATTAATCTTTTTGGATAGACAGCAATGTTCATTTTGGCATTTTAATCTCCCAATTGCTTGAGGTTGAGGCACTTCATATTGTAATTTATGCAATGCAGCTGCTCAAGCAGTGCAGCAGACTCCAAGAGAATAGTCATTTTAATTAAAGGAGGCATTCAGAAACTAATCACATTAGTTTATTTTTTTTTTATTTATTTATTTTTCCGAACACACAGATATGCAATGAGCCAGAACCAAACGAAGTATATTTCTCTTGAATTCCTCTTAATACTAAATATTTCATATTGTTAATACTCAAGACTCTCATCAGCAGATGATTAATTTATTCCAAAACAGACCAAATGTCTACTTTTTCTCTGCTTGAGTACCTTAAGATCTATTCATGCTGCTATAAAAATACATTTATGTTGCATGATTAGGTTTCACCACAAAACCTCAAATACTATTATCTCATAATGGAATTTTATGGAAATTCTGTTATGTTGCATTTTAAGCCTTTGAGAGATGGCTGAACCATGGGAATCCTACAATACCAGAATCCCAGAAAGCAAGTCCTGGGAACCTCTCAGTTATTTGTCGTAAAAAAAAAAAATAATAATAATAATAAAAAATGAAAAGTACACGACCGAAGAAAATGTTTTGTAAGTTATAAACAAATGATTTACTATAAAAAAGATCAATCTGAACCTAAGAGCCATCTAAGTGAAAAAAAACCAAACAATGAGAACTTTAAGCATGAAAAAATGCGAAAATGGACAAGACACAGGGAACACTGATAACACTCAAAGAAAAAAAAAAAAAAAAAAAGAAATACTGATAAGCTGCTGGATATTAACCTCACAGCATAATTTGCAGAAGACACTCATATTTCTATCCATGCATGAGTTCTGTTTGACTCCAGGGGAGGATTTAATGATATCTTGATATGAGGGGCTATAATTCATGATAAACTGTGTTCAATACTGTCGTGTTACTCCTCCCTCCCAGGGATAATTTTCTGTTCGTATAATTGTCTTGTTCTAGGGCTTGTTATGAGGGAGTGAGCTGGCTAGTGGGGTGGAGATAACATCCTCCTCTGTACAGATTGCTTTGGGGGTGAGGAGGGGGCACAATTGTTTGTACAGCCCATTAGAAGACATGAACGATAGTTTTCAGGAAATTTACAATGTTGCTCGTTTTCTCGGTCTCACAGTGAAAGACAGACACTCAGATGCCTGGCTGCCACAGTCATTGCATTTCATGCAGCAGATAATTGGAGTTAATGATTTTTCTATTTCTGCTTCTTTGACAAAGCCAAATTATAAAAGCAGAGTCACATCTAATAAAGAAGTGCAAAAGTAATTTATTGGGGTTAAACATTGGAACAATCAACCATCACAACTAATCATATCAACAGAGACTTAAAAAAAAAAAACTACAGTCTACATGTGAAGCATATTTTCACTTCAGTACCTTGAAATAAACAAAAAAAAATTGATTCTCCAGAAAAGTAGGGCAGGAGCTCTTAGCATTTTTATTTATTTATCTTTTTGGTTGTTTTATAAAGATTTGTCTTCATTTATACTCTTCACAAATGTTCACAAATAGTAAATTTTAAAGAATGTTTTCAAAAAGTTACAATTCTGAAGAGAGATTAACTTAACCCTACTGTTATGTCGAGGGTCAAATTGACTCATTTAATAATAATAATAATAATAATAATAATAATAATAATAATAATAATATAATAATAATAATAATAATAATAATAAAAGGAGCTTGAAGAAATACTTTCATGCATATTTGGGCTAAATATGGAGTAATTAATATAGGCAGCATATGATACAAACTATAGCTATACATGGAATAGACTAATCAAATTTTCATTTGAAAACCAGCTTTAGCTTCTTCAGAGAAGAATTAGGAAGAATTAGGGTACAAGGGTGGTGCTTACTATGGTAAATGGTCTCAGGGGGCAAAACATAATCTGGGATAATTTACAGTGCCCTATAAAAAGGGAAAAAATGTTGTCCTCTTGAGTACTTTGCACAAGAGTGCTGAAATCATCACCTGAAAGGACCAGAAAACAATCCTTTAATACTGTCAAAGGGGGAGTAGGTAACTTGGACACGGTTACTGGATCACACAGCACCAGACGAATGTCTGAGCACTGACAAAAAATTTAAAAACTATCATTTTGAGGTTGACTTGTTTGTGTAGGCTTTCCTAGTGGAGATTAAAAAATAAAATATTTCTATTTTTGTGAGAAACAAGTGAATTACCATCATTCAGCCTTCATTTCTGAATGACATCGAGGTAAATAACATAATTGCAGTAAACATTGATTGAAATTGTTAGTACTGATCAGATATAAGAATGTTTGGGGAAAAATTTTGGATTCTGACATTAGTGCATTTTTTTTTAATCCCTGGGCCAACATGAGCCAGGAACATTATAGCTATTAGCCTCAGAAATGAAAATCATAGGAGAATTAACAGGCACACCACACTTTCTTAGATTTTTATTTGTACTTTTTATTCCTTTCACTTTTCACTGATGCAAAAAAACAACAAAAAACAAAGAAATCCTAACAAAATATGTTGAAGTTTTGTAACCTACTGCATTTTCAGGTTTTACTTTAATAACCAATATGAAGCAATACAAATACTCAGTTTAATTGTTGGTTTGCTAGTGAACTGTGAAAGCTTACTGCTGTTAAATCTAATTTAAAGCAGATTTATGGTGTTGTGAAGGCTAAGGTACTAGCCATCTGGGGCCCTGAAAATGGGGCCCCAAATTAAAATGATTAGGGCCCCGAATACTATTGTGACAGCTCTGACGAGGTGATTATGTAAGTGTTACAGGTCTGTTATGCATCTTTTGGCATTTAATTTCCCTTCCTGAATCACTATTGTGTCAGATATAAATAATGTGCCAAGTTATGTTTATTTATAAACTTTGAAATATTAGGAGATTTATATCACTGTAGCATGCAGATATAAGTCATGCTTTGATACATTTGTGTCATTTTAAATTTGTACTCTTCATGACAATAATATAATTATGATAAACATGAACATTTAATGTAACATTTTTCAAAAATAGCCACCCACAATGTCACAGTTATACAATATCAAAACTCTAAACTGGCATGCCGCAACATTGTAATACAGATGGCAGAACAAGCATAATCCACAATTTTTTGTTGTTGTTTTTTGTTTTAATTACAAACCTCTTGTGTTTCTTTTGCAAAGAATTTTTTTGAATGATTTTCTGAAGTCTTTATTGAATATGGTGTATATTACCGGATTGAGTGAGCTGTTGCAGTAACCGAACCAGAAGAAGGTTTTGAACAGTGTCTCTGGGATGCAGCACGTGTCACAAACTGCCGCAAGCGTGTAGGTGAAAAAAAAGGGGAACCAGCAAAGAACAAACACTCCCACGACCACAGCTAGGACGAAGGTGAAGCGCTTGTCTCTGTACTGCCGTCCCTTCCACTTGCTCGCCCTCACAGAGGACAGGTCCTCTGCCTTTGCACAAGTTTCTTTAGATTTCACCTGAGTCACTTTTGGTGTTCTCCCGCTCCTCTTTTTCATCAGGGAACACAGGATGTTTTCATTCCCGTCAGAGGAGGACGGCTCTTCTTCCACATCCAGCCCATAGACCTCTTCCCTATCTTTCAGCTCATCCATTTCTTTTTCTTGCTTTTCTCCGGGGTCCATCTCAAATTGGGTGTTCTCTAAATTGCCGTTCTCTCTTTGCCGCTCTTTTGGCGAGGCTCTGGTTCTTTTCTTGGCGACCTGGTAGATCCGGACATACACCATAATTATGATGATACAGGGTGCAAAGAAGGATGCAATGCTCGAGAATATGATATACCATTTCACCTCGTTGATCTTGCATGCAGGGTTGTCCTTCCCTCCCTCCTTCTTTGTCATTGTGATGAGCGGAGGAAATGAAATCAAGGCGGCAAGCACCCAAACCAAGCAGATTGTGCATTTAATCCTGCGGGGCGTTCGTTTCAGGTTGTACTCAATGGCTTTAGTCACAGACCAGTACCTGTCCAGGCTTATGGCACACAGGTGAACGATGGATGAAGTGCAAAAGAGAACATCCAAAGCCAGGTGGATTTCACACCACACTCTGCCAAAGTACCAGTAACCCATGAGCTCATTTGCTAAGGAAAAGGGCATCACCAAGGTGGAAACCAGAATGTCTGCGCACGCCAGAGAGACTAAAAACAAGTTCTGTGGTGCCTTCAGGACTCGGCTTGTAATCACAGCGATCACTACCATCACGTTTCCAAACACGGTTAGTAAAATGAGCATCCCCACCAGGGTGGTGAGCATCACCGAGGTCTGCACCGAGAAGGGCTGCTTGCCAGGCAAAGTCTCGTTTCTGCTGGTGAGGTTGAGGCAGCCCATCAGGATGAGCCGTGGCGTCCAAAATAATACTCTGAGTTGTGTTCACTGCGAGTCGAGGAGAAACTGTGCTCTCCCGCTGCGTGTTCGGGGGATTCTCTAAAGAAAAACAGCAGCAGAGAATGGTCTCTTCATTTTGCTGAGATTGCTGAAGAAGTCAATAGTTTGTGTCTCCCTTGAGAGTAAAAAAGTATAAACATAATAACAATGAATATATCTTTGTGTTAAAGACAAAGACCTATTAAAAGTGATTTAATGAAGTCCATCTTTTAAATAATTCTCTTTTTTACTTAGTGCTGGTAATAGCAGTAAGAACTATGAATCCACCTACCTTTACCCATCATAAAGCAGCCATTTTCCTTTAACTTCTGACTGAAGCAGGTCTCTTCATCTGTTGCAGTTGTACTGAAGCTCGTGTTTTCAATGGGCTTGATCTGACACTGGAGATCTGTGATGCTGCCTCCACTACAGTGAGAACAGGAATGGGAGGAGTTCAACTGCTGAAGACATAAAAAGTGATTCGGTGCTGCTTCCAGACGCCTAAGTCATTGGTTGATTTTTGAGGATAATTATGTTGGTGATTTATAGAAGCAATTTATGTGCACTATTAGATTACAGTGTTGTGCAGTACACTTTATCATTTTGAGCTTCTGTGACATAAGCTAATCATATATCTTGAAAGTAAAAAAAAAGAAAAAGAAAAAGAAAAGCTAGAAATGATGGTTGACTTCAGAGAGAGGATGAGGGTTATTCAGCTTTTCACTAATAGCACTTAGGGCCCAGGTAGAGAAGACTGTTGAACAAGATTAATCTAATCTTGTTTTCAGAGCAGAACTCCATTAATCAAAATGAATGCGTTTGATCAATGTCCTAAACTTTTATAAAGTAAGTCAGATACAACTTATATTTTAAAGTTGTCACTTGTGTCCAATGAAAGAATACACATGGGGTCATTTCAATTTAGGTTTTCAGGATCTTGTACTTCTTATCTGATAATGTAATTTTTTTCTAAAGTTTCTCTGAATTTATTAAGTTTTGCTTATTTTTCACTGCACATGGTTTTACATAATAAGCTGTTCATTTTAATTCATTTTGTTTTTTTGCAACACCTCAGCATCACATTCCAATCCAATGTGTGACATTCTGGGAGAGTGAAGCTGTTGTTACTGAGTCAGTCTTGCTGCATCAGAGTACTCATATCTGTTGGACTTTTTCATATTCTTCACTTTATACAAACTTCAATGTCAACTGAATTTTATGTGATAGACTAACACAAAGTACTTCATTTTGTGATGTGGAAAGAAAACGATTTTCCAGTTGTCTTTTCAAGAGAAAATCTAAAGACAGTCGTGCATTCACTTTGATTTAGTTTAGTTTTGCTGCAGTTACAGCTGCAAGTATATATTTGTAGCAGCTTCTCTAATTTAAAAAGTGATATTTTTAAATTCTTTGTAAGCTCAGTCAGATTAAATGTAAAGTGGTTGTGAACAAAGTAATTTTTTAAGTCTTGCATGGGAACTGGAAAACTGTGATTCTAACTAATACATTTGCTGTGCTCTAGACTATTTCATTATAATTCTAGCAATATGTTTAATGTTGTTAAACAAAATGGGTTTTATATACTTTAGTGTTTCGGAGAAATTATGTGGAAGAAAATGTGTTTTTACTTTTGACCACTTAGAAAATCATCTGTGCAGCCATCGTTTTGGGGTAAGAGCTGTGGAAAGTTAAATACATATAACTTTATGATGGGGAGAGAAGTACGCTTTTACATGTTTAAAGAGACCAAAACTGTATAAATAAAAACTTTAAGCTTATCGGAATTTGTTTTGGCGACTGTACAAGGTTGGTTTTTCAGTCGAAAGTCAGAGACTGGAGATGCTATCCAGCCGATAGGGGGCGCTGATGAGCCTCTAGAACAGCGTATCGTCGCATGGGATTTATACTGGTTTCCGGTGTGCTATTCACAGATAGAGAGAAGAAGAGCACATTTTAAAAATTAGAACGGCTATTTACGAAAAATAATCGACTTTGAATCATACTTATTGTTCAGCTGATTAGACAAGGGTTGTAAAACAAAGGTAAGACCACACACAGCCTCTCTTTTGTTGTTTCTTCTCTGTGGCTGTTAGCTAGCGGTAGCCTCGTTACGTTAAACGTACGTCGAAGAAAAGGCCTTGCTAAGTGTGTTAGCGCTGTGCTAAGGTTTATTTTTTTAGTGGACGCATTATACATAAATTTATTCAGATTTTTATGAAGCGGGATTAGTAGTACAGTCATAAACGTGATTCATACTACATCCTCTTATCAGCTACCCGTAGAAAACTGAGTAACGTTGCATTTTGCTTTTTGGTTTTTAGCGCACAAATGTCGGAAGATTTGGTGAAACAGTTGAGCAGCTACAAAGCTCAGCTACAGCAAGTGGAAGTTGCCTTATCAACCGATCCAGATAATGAAGACCTCCGAAAACTTCAGAAGGACTTGCAGGTTTGTTTCCTCCCTTCATCCGAAAATTGTTTCCACTGTAGCATTTATAAAAAGTTTTTACTAGGACTAGAGTGGGTCGTCATGTTTGTTGATATGCGGTCTTGTCTGGCTCCTTCCATCCCAATGATAATGAACCCTTGTGTTCATTATCCTTCCATTCGTTCTACATTTTGCTTTGCATTCTACATCCGTGCTTCCCGCAATTGCGACATTTTTCATCCTTCCTTCACATTTTGCTATTTCTTCTTTACTACTATGTTTTTTGCAGATTACTTTACATAGCTTGACCCTAGTCCCGTAGGAATGTATGTCTTACGTATATAACATGAGACTGAAAACATCGGAAAACCAAGTAAATTCATCTTAAAAAGTATGCCTTTTCATTATTTTTATTAGAAAATTTCGAATAAAGTCACAAAGCATTTGTCACTTTTGGGCATTTTTTGTCTTGGTGTGTAAACCATTACTTTTTGTGTAATCCAACTTCTTTTCGTATAGGTTTAAAAGACAAATTACCTTGAATAAGATAACAGAATAATAGAAATGAGGGCTACACAAAATCTGTGAAACGTGTAATAAATAAAGTTACAGTGATTGTTAAATGAATAACTATGTTTAAGCCAATAGTGTTGATGTCTTTCTGCTTTAGATGGTACTTATTTACTGCAGTTATTTGCGATCTTGATATGTAATAAGTGTTTTTGTTGAAGTTTGTAAATGAATACAATTTTCCCCTGTAATCATCTGAGCCCCACACATGCATAGTTTTTAGGACAGGAATTTTTACAGTGCAGGAATTTCAATTGAAAAGAAACTCTGCCAAGTTCAAATATTTATAGAATCTAAAATTGGATATAGACACGAGCCAGTGTGACAATCTCATGGTATAAAGCTGCTCTCTTTCAATGAGCTGCCTGGCAGAGCAACAGGTTGGGAGATTTTTACTCTTTTCAGCCACAGAAACCTCTACTAAATCCAAGAGCATCTGTGACTTCTCATTAAAATGACTTAAACCTGTAGGTTTACACAATTAAGCAGATTCTAAACCATAACTTTTGAAATCTCTGGTTTACCTTCATACCTTTGTCTAACAAGTCTGACCAAGTCTATAGATGTGCTAAATTGTGTTAACTTGAAATATTCTGTACCCTAAAAATAACTGATGACATGGAAGCATTTGAAAGGGAGGAAGTAGGAAGTCATTATATTGCCTGACCCAATAAGAGCACCTTAGTTCCTGTAATTATTGTCTTTTTTTTTTTTTCTTGCTCTTTTGCAGGAAGTCATCGATCTGACTAAAGACCTCCTGACTTCGCAGCCCGCTGATGGGGCTTCCAGCACCAGCGGCTCAGAGTCAGTGCCAGTGAAGAAAAACTGGAAAGTGGGTGAACGATGTTTGGCAATGTGGAGCCAGGATAGCCAGTGAGTTTCGACATTCTTTTTAAATGAACAAATGACTCACCTGTGTAATGTGTGTCACCATAAAGCAGCACCTTCTTCAATGGGTTCACAAAAATATTTTTATTTGTAATTCTGTTCTGTAAATGGAAACTGATTAAGAGGAATTATAATTGTAACAGTTCAGAAACCTTAAGCAAGTGTGAAAATCCTCAAAACTGTATTTTGACATTCAGTTGCATTTTATTCTTTCATTCGCATGTAACTTGAGGAAACATTGTTGCTTCATAGAGTCTGTCTTTTTAACTGTATATAAATGTATAGTTGGGAGATATTTAAAAAAAAAATGACATTAGAGTTTGTAACATTGAAATGGAATTATTTTGTGCTTACTGAGAAATTATTGAACGTTGCCTATTAAGTAGACCTTGAGTCTTTGGCTCATACTCACCTGCTTACAGACGTGATCTTTTGACAGGGTGTATGAAGCTGAGATTGAGGAGATAGACCGAGAGAACGGCACTGCGGCCGTTACGTTCACAGAGTACGGGAATGCTGAAGTGATTCCCCTGCAAAACCTCAAAGTTGTGGAGGAAGGGAAACGATCTGAGGACGACGGAGGTTTAAAGTCAAAGTCAAGGTAATGAACAACCTCATCTTGTTTCTTGCTTTGTTCATATTTCTACACTGAAATCTGTGAAAGCCTTGCATCACTGACACTTTACATTCTGCTTCCCCAAATAAGTAAGATATGACTTTGTGTCTTTCCACCTGTAACCATAGAAGTCTTTTCTTTAGGTTACAAGATACACCAGGCTTTCCGTGAAGTGCTAGGCAGCATATTCCACAGATCAAGTGCCATCACTTAGGTGGTTTTTAAGTTTGCATTCGAGTATGGATTTATGGATGTCTAACATCATCTGATTTGTGCACATTAATTGCTGTGGGTGGAGTGTTGGGGACACAGAAGACCAGACAAATATGGAGGTGCCCACAGCATTAAGACTCCTAAGAAAGCAATAAAACCTGGAAATGGAGCCTCAAGTTGAGAGAATTACACGGCCAGTGTTGAATGTTGCACTCATCCATTCCTTTCTCTGCTACAGCAAAAAAAAAAAAAAAGATACAGTATTAAAAACTGAGATATAAGCCAAAACCAATATTCTGTCACTTGCTGTTCATGCTACCAACATTATTATGAGACTTGTCAATTGAAAGTACATCATTAGAAATGTTACATTCAAGACACATGCACCATAGCATTTTGAGTGAATTACAGTCATTTTACTGCTGATTTTTAGTCACTGATTAGTTTGGGTGCCAACATTATTATGATCTCTTAACTTCAAATGATTGAGATTTTTTTGTTTTGTTTTAATTACATATTAAAAATACCAAAGACTAAGCAAATGAATAGATGTGGGTTAAATCTTAACCCTTGTTATTTCTGCAGGAGTCACAACACGATTTTAGTTTTTGTTGTCCAATTATTATTTGGTTAATTCAAACTTTCATCAACAGATAATTTCTTCACCATATGAAGTCGTACAGAAAAACCTGATGCATCCTTTGCTACAAATGCATATGAAATAGACTTACTGCATCTTGGCAATACAATGTTTATTACTTAACTGAGAAATTGTATTAGCATCTTTTAATGTATTTCTAATGTTGAATAACAAAAAATAAAATTGTTATTTCTTGCAGCCCTTAAACATTAGTATTTTTGTTACAGCTCTACTATGTCAAGTCAATTCATAAATTATAGTTTCCGTTCTCTGGTGTGAAGTTTGCTTTTTAATTTTCTTTCTTGTGTGACTTTCTAGAAAAGAGCAAATAGCAGAACAACGAGAGTACAAGAAGAAGAAAGCTCAGAAAAAGGTACAGAGGATGAAGGAGCTGGAGCAAGAGAGGGAGGAGCAGAAATCTAAGTGGCAACAATTCAACAACAAAGCTTACTCAAAAAACAAGAAAGGACAGGTAAGATATTTTTTTACCTCTTCTTATTGTAGTTATTTGTCTTTTCTAGCTAACATGTTTATTTTTATGTTCTTATAGGTGAAGAGAAGCATATTTGCATCACCAGAAAGTGTAAATGGAAAGGTGGGAGTGGGAACATGTGGCATTGCAGATAAACCTATGACCCAGTATAATGACACATCCAAATACAATGTCAGACATCTGATGCCACAATGACCTCGCACACTCTGTACATAATAATCCACTGTATACTAGTTGTATCGGTGCTTTTTGTTGTGTTTCTACATGATTAAAGTCCCTCGTATAATGAAAGCTTTTAAAGGAACTGGTTGGACACCGGTGTTTAAAGTATTGCTGTAGTTTTCTTGTATATTACATAAACTCAACGAAAAGATTCACATGAGGGATTTTTCCACCACTGGAACAAAGTCTCCTGTTGCGTAAGAACGTATGTCATGGAAAAAACCGTGGAAACTGCTATTTGTACTTATTTTTGAGGCAAAATCTCTAAGATGTGTTGATTTGGAGTGTACATTTGATGCTGGATTGTTCAATTCTCATCAATAACAATAATATCTGATTATTAATTATGTTGAGAATTTGGAATGACAACTTGACATTTTAATTTCTGTACATATATATAAAAGCGTAAAATAAAGGTTATGTTCTCAATTTTGCTTTGTTTTGAGGTCTTTTTTTTTCCCTCATTGTAGTACAGTGACTGTTGAACCTGCAGAGGGCAGCAGAGACTTTCACACTTGTGAACAGTACAACGCAAAACATGAAGCCTTTTGGAGATGCCCAACAAAAACAAAAGCCTGAATTCAGTTGAGCAGTAAAACAGCATAATTTAAAATTGCTGGCAAAGGTACATCATAGTAACTTAGAAGATCATTAAAATAGTCGGATCTATTGGACAACTGTCAAGTCGGCAGGCTTGTCTGTGTTTATGTAGGTAATAGAAATTCTGCACTTAAAAGAAACCTTTGTTTAAATTAGTCTTAATCTTTATTTTCCGAGAAACAGAATATTGGGCTTTCATTAACTGTCTTCATCAAAATTAACAAATAAATGCTTGAAATATGTGACTAATGAAAAGATGATTTTAAATTTTTACTGACTTTTTAATTGCATCATTTGTGATGTAATGTACATAAACCCTTACTGGAAGCTTAAAAAACACAACATAAGCATGTTTTTGTAAAGGTTTAATTAAGATTCTAGGAATAGTTTCCAGGAGTTGTAACAAATTGTTAGCAGGGGACCAGCAGCATGTATTTTGCACAAAAGTCACCTTGGATGGCTTAGTAAGCATAAGAAAAACATTGTGCCTCGACATAATTGACATTTTCTTTAAATAGTGCATTTCATTTATTTTTTTGCAGTTTCCCCAAACACGCTGGGTCGGGGACCGATCTCCAACGACAAGGCGTCGGACAATCCCCACGTTAAGACACAAATTGGTGGTGATTTACTTAGGACTTTGTTCAGAAGAACGCAGATAAATGTTTATATTGAAATATCTATTTTTGGTTTCAATTGATGAAACAAATCAGCTGTGCAGTTTTGTATTAAATATATTCTGAATTTCAGTGGAAAGTCTTCAAATGTCAAGAAATTCAACTTATCCCTTCTCGGCTACAGTACAAAAAAAAAAAAAGATACAGTATTAAACACTGAAGTATAAACCAAAACCGATATTCTGTCACTTGCTGTTCATGCTACCAACATCATTATTAATATCAGACTTGTCAATTCAAAATACATTACAATATTAGAAAGGCTACATTCAAGACACATGCACCATAGCGTTTCAAGTCAATTACAATCATTTTACTGCTGATTATTAGTCGCTGATTCTACTACCAAAAGCAAGTGTATATCCTCATATTTGGAATTGGATGGATGGGGGAAAAAAAAAATATCAAACCCAGCCAACATTACTCACATGATCAAACTAGACATTATTGCTTGAGCTTTGTGCTTGGGCAAGTGCTAGGTTAGCTTATTACCGACTAAAATTGAATTTGCACACAGTGTGAAAGCATTGAACTAAACACTGAGCAATGGGTTAAACTCAGCACAGCAAATGCTTCTCGTGGGGGTTCCTACTAAGTCAGTTTGGCAGACATTTAGAAACAGTGATGAAAGGTTTGCCATTCAAGCACAACTAAAGTACAATTAAATATATCAAAAATAAATAGAATCATGCAAAATATATTAGGAGTAACAGGTGGACGACACGCCGCCTGTCTTGATTGGACTGTCTTGTTGAAGAAGAGGGATGCCACATGAAATCAAGGATTGATTTGTGGATCCTAAAGCATGAGTAACAGACTTGTGGACCTTATTTTAGAACGCAAGCTGGATTTTAGCCCTTGCCGGCTTGTACGTTAACAAGAAGTGCTGTCTGGACGTGTTATCCTGTGGAGAAAAAAAGGGCTTTTTTTTTTTTTCGTTTTTACAAGGCATGTGGCGCAGATGTTTCCAATGGTGAGCTCCTCACTGATTGTGTGTGTGTGTGTGTGTGTGTGTGTGTGTGTGTGTGTGTGTGTGAGTGAAAATGGGATTTGCTGGTTGTTGTTTTTTTTTAGTTTTATTTAAAGATCAGCTTGTTTAAAGCAGAGTTCTTCCTTCAGTGTTTGACACTGGTTAAATAACAGGTCCTCCTCAAGATCGACTTATAAAACGAGTATAGTTCACTTGAACTTACAAAAGGTAAAGGGAACGATGTTTTGATAACGGTTGTACATTATCAAAGTTGTATTATTGTTATAATGTGATAGAGAGAAGGCTGCTGCTTTTCTGAAGGGGAGTGTACTGAACTTAAGGCTGGTTCTGGGGGAGAGTTATATTTGATTTTCTTATGTGTGGAGGCTGGTTTGTTTGTAGAAGATCGAGGGAGAACGGAGCTCTAGGCTGGTACTTTGAAGGGAGAAAGCCATAAAAATATTGCAGCTTCAGTGTAGGTATAGGCTGGTTGTTTAAGCGTTGAAGGCAAGTTTCAGACTGCAGGTGGAGTAACCCTCGTCACTGGCTAAGCTCTGCCGGCTGCTGTGGTCGTCCAGGTCGCTTGCACCACTGGTGCTAACACTGTCCATTTCTCCATGGGAGAACTCAGTGCTTTCCACGTCCACTTCAATTTCCTCTGCATCCAGAAAAAAAAAAATCACAATCAATAAGTAATCAACCATTGGAAAAAAGAAAGAAAGGAAGAAAAGGGTTTTATTGCGACACTGACCTCTGTCAGACTCTGAGCGGTCCGAGTCCATGCGGGAGCCAAGGCTGTCTGTGCGGACCCTCTCTCTTTCTCCATGAGGCTGCAGCAGAGCCAGCTGCCTCTGTAGGTGCCGCTGCTCCCTTTCTAAGGTCTCCAGTTGGTGCTGACTCCTTCGGTCTACCTCTTCAAGTTTCTTCAGAGAAAAAAAAAAAAAAGGAACGTTCATTTCTAATTCAAGAGCTCTTGTAGTTGAAGAAATGTAAAGAAAGTGCTTGTAATTTGTGTACATCACTTCTGGATCAGTTGTTCAATTGAACTGTCTTGTAATGGCTTATGGTGACTTAAACAAAATTTCATGACATACCTGGTTTTTTTTATTCATTGACAAATTAATAAATGTATATATAATTTTTTACATTTTAGATATTTATATATTTTTTTTGTAAAAACCTTTGAGAGGCACATTTGATTTATGTTTCAACCAATATGCTCTATTTTGTGTTTGTCTGTAACACACTAGACCCATGTTGAAGTTTAGAAATTCAACATGACAAAATGTGGAAGTGATCAAGCTGTTTTCTATTCACAGGGAAAAAAGAAAACAGCAGAGACCAATATTACTGTTTAAATAAAGGCTCATTTAAAGTTAAAGACGTGTCAAACATCTAAAGCTAATAGAGAGCGTTCCATGTTATTGCCTTCTTTGAAGCAAGAAGAGCTTTTATCACTGCTCTCTGCAAAACAGCTGTTGATTTTGGTTCGCTTTGTTTTTATGCCCGGAGGCTTTATGGCCCTGTGCCTGCTGCACCTGCTCCACCCTTTAAATACTCAACCTCACGTTCTAAAAATAAAACTACACTAAGTTTTAGAAAGCCTCAGTTTCTGGAATTTAATTGTACAAATTCAAAGTCAACGGCAAACCTCGCAGCTTTCTCACTTATTGCACGTCTAGGTGAGAAACTTTTGTCAGCTGTTGCCAGGATAGTTTTTAACCTCTACTCCACTTCAAAAATGATTTGACTTATTTATGCTGTGTTAAATGGCGGATTCTTTTAAGCTTAATTTTTTTTATTTTTTTTATTTAACTCCTCTGTCTTGTGTTGCCTAGACACTGTGGTCTGCTAAGATAACCTGTGTTAATACCAGAGGTCAATGCTACAAAAATCAAATTAGTTAGATTGGAAATGTTTCACGCGATGGCGTCAAAATAAGTTGCATTAAAAGTCACCCAGTTAGTAAATAGACTCAATCTGTGTGTCAGAAAATATGAGTGGACAGACTGCATCATGAAAATCAAGTTAGGGTCAGTAAGAAAGCTGTAGAAAAGTTTAAAGCAATATAAATTACAAAACAATATCCCAAGCTTTAAACATGTCAAGGACCATCCATTGTTTGAATGTGGTACAGCTACAAACATACCATGGATTTTGAGGACAATCAAGATGTTTTTTGGCAAATATTAAAAAGGTTCTTTTAGGTCAGAAGCTGTTTTCAAACTATGCCTTTCCCAATGATGCTATTTTCCTCAGGTTTCCTCCTCTCTTCCATTTTGTTTCATCCTGAACACTGACATTAGCTGAGGTAAAGGAGACTCATAGTGCTTTAGATATGATCTGTGTTCTCTCTCTTTGTTTTATGCCAGATTGTCATCAGGGTTTTTTTTATTTTTATTTTTTATTTTATTTATTTAGATTGTTAATGGGTTTTGGCTTTTTAAGCCTGTTAGGCTTCATGTTTACTCCATGTAAAGTCTGGCAGTAATCAGGCCTGGGCGTGGCATGTGAAATACAACTCAGCTGCCTAAAAACGTGGTTAGCCACAGCCAACGCATTACATTGCATGTATTACAATACATCATTAAACTTTGAGGGGCATTTATATGTTCACAAGGGCGTTAGTTAGTTTGATTTACAAAATGCTTTACTCCAGCTGTATTTGTCTGACATTACAATGAGTTTCATAACCTGAAACGACATGTTTTCACTGTTTTTCCCTAAACCTATATAACCCAGCTGCTACTTTGTGGTGAAACCTGACTGAAAACAAAGCTGCCTTCATGAGAAGTATTTCTAAAAGCCAAAAAAAGGGGAAGCCTTCAGCAGTCCCCTCTCCCACAGCGCTCACACAACCACACCTTGATGTGTGCTTTGGCCTTGTTGAGCAGTCCCAGTGTGGTGTGCCGGCTGCAGTCTGGTCCCAGAGGGATGAGTGACTTCAACCTCTCCAAACACAGGCGGAGATGTGCTCGCCTGTGGGAGGAGACATCGTTCAGGTAATTTCTCTGCAGGGACTGAACATGAGTACATTACATTCCCCACACTGAACACAAACCGTTAAAAAAAAAAAAAAAACGGCTTTGAAAAATTGCTATTTTATAACGTCATTAATCGTGTTTCAAATGTAGGGATAAATGTGGGTCGAGATCTCAAAGTTGCTGAAGTCATCTGTTATTCTGCCACCCAGAGACTCCTCTGCAGTCTGAGTGAGTACAATAACTGGCAAAAGGACTCTCAGTATGCCTGTATATAATGGAGTAAAATGTAGGTCAAATTATGATGTCATATCTGCATTGGCCTCCATTTTGTAAATTAAGAGTAATCTCTTCTGAATCTTCCTTTAGGGTGTCTCCCTTATATACAAGCCATATGCATGTGTTACACGTCTTACACGTGCATATGGCTAATGATTTGAATTTAGAATAAAAGGTTGATTGGCGTTCCTTGGCTCCCCGTTTAAAGCAGAAAGCACGTCACGGGGAAACAAAAGCAAACGGCAGTCAGCTTTCGCAGCTGGAAATCTTTCAGGAAGGAACCCTGTTGTCTGGAAACGGACGCTTCCCATTTGCTGACTGGGGAAATGAGTGCATGTCCTCGAGGAACAGTGTTGCTACTCTGTGGCCATGCTCTATTTTGCCTTGCAAAAATCTACGCCAATATCCAGAACGGAAATGACAAAAGCTGTTTGTTATAAAAGCTCCCTTAAGGTGCTGTGATGATAAGTTAATTTTCAGTCCTGCAGCACCTTATTTTAAAATTATATGGCTGATGTATTTAGCATTTACCCAAGATATCCAAATGTGGCTAAAGGAAGGGAAGTTGTGGGCTTGTGTACCAAGAGCTCCATTATGAAACTTGCAGATAAAAAAGTCTATTATTATTTTTGATGTATCCCTCATTTTTCTCCAGTTTCATACTCACTATCATGCACAAGTGTTAAGATTTGGAACTGCTTGTAGTGGCATTGTCTCTAAAGTTAAAAGAAGCATTGAAAGGACCTTGCTTCACTCACCTATTCTTTTCCAGCTCATTGTGTGCTGATCTGTTGAAAGCATTAAAACATTTACTGTCAATTATTTAATTGATAGAGAAACCAGATCCACAGCAGCATAGCATACTGTGTGCAAACACCAAACCCAACATACTGAAGTTGATTGCCGTAAGTCAGTCATTAACAAAGATAATATGACATAATGAGTATTGGGGATCTTGCAACAAGACAATAGTATTGACTTACCTGTTGTGCATGTTGTCCACTTTCCTGTTCTTGAATTTGCGATGTTTTTGTTGATGTGCAATCTGTGCTTCAGGGTATGCTGAAGCATAACCATGCTCACATTCTGATAAGTGGAAAAAAATGGAGAAAGAGAATTAATATTTTTATTTAATTGAATCTGTCACAACTACAAAGAAGGCTGAATTTACTTGATAAAAGTGACCAAATATGATCTGAAGTTTGGATACCGAGTTGTAAAACGGTCCATGCAATAAATAAATAAAGAAAAAAGAAAAACTAAAATCTTGAAATGCTCTGTTGCCAGAACTGACCAAGGATTTTATGAGTCTAAGCTAAATTTCAGTAACTTCCAACTACAACTGCTAAGCATTGCCCTAGACATTTCTTTCACAGGTCAACCAAATATGTATGTTTATTGATGATAAATCTAATGTTGCAAATATAATTACAGCTATAAGAAAATTACCAAGCAACATAATGCATAATTTATGTTTAAAGTTCTGAAATATGACAGATGTTATGTTGTTTTAATAAAATTTCTGCACTGTCTCACAGTCAAGCGGAGAGTGAAAGTTATCAAACAAAAAGCCTCCTTTCCATGGTTGACGGTCAGCTATATCTGCAAACGTCTCTTCTTAACAATTCAGTGTGGGAGACCTTCAAGCAGCTACATAGAGCTGCTATATTGGTTGCATTTTGATAATGATAATCGTATTGGTTCTTCGCATGAGTCTGTTAGAAGACCTGCTCTCAGCTACGAACAGGAAACTGAAGCGACAGTTTGCACAGCCTCACTCAAGATCAAGATTTGGCATAAACATAAAAAAATAATGGCTCCATCCTGACTTGTATCTAGATTTCAGGCTGGTGTTGACAGCAGCTATGCTTTCTTGGTGCTCTTGACCCTTCGATTTCAAGCGAACATCATTTAAACATCACAGACGTCCTTTAGACGTCTTTACAACAGGAGAATACATCATTTAACAAATGTCATACAATCTTTTTTTTTTTACAAATATAATTATCTCATCACCAAATCTCAAACCAGCAGGGCACATTTTGGAGGTGGTGGCTGAAATGCTATCATGTCACTATGGACCAAAATATGATGAAAAAAAATTGAAACAACACCAGCAAAGGTGTACCTAATAAAGTGGCCGTTGAGGGTATATGTATCAATTTACAAAAGGTCAGAATAAATGGGAAAAGCTCTTCATGTTTTGTCTTTCATTCTACTCCCCTTTAACAGTAGAATCTGTGTTGGTTTAGCATCCTGTTTCCTACAGTTCCCATGAACCACTATTCTCGGTAACGTTAGGCGTCAGAAATAAAAACCTGCCTCCGATTGGTTGGCTGCCGTGGACAAGGCGATGGGGACGTGGCTTCCGACCAATAGAAACTTCGCAATTTGTTCCATGTGTGGACCATGTGAACAACACATACAAGGAAGCAGCAGCTTTCGGAGAAGCAGGGCAGCAGGGCTGATCATTTGGAAAGACGAGAGGAAATAAAATCCAAATCACAGTCTGGGTTACGATGGAAGGCCAGTGAACGTGACGTGTTCCCAGTGAATGTGTAAAACTTAAAGGACAAAAACCCTGGAACAGATTCTGTTAAATGAAAAATAAACGCCCAGCGTAGAATTGGGAAGCCGCAAATAGGCTATAATAATGTGGACTCAAGTGCACATAAGGATGGCTTATTAAAATCGTGCACGCAATTTAAAAAAACAGATCTAATCTAGTAGTGGCAAAATCATCTCAGAACAGCAGCGAGAGGCGGCTGCAAGACACTGCTTCCGATGAGCCGATTGTTCCCCCAGTTCTCTACTTCAATGCATTTCCCAACTCATCTGCAAATGAGCGCCGTTTTCAGCGTGTGGGTCTCGAAAGAGCTCAGGTTTAACAGGAAAGCAGCAGGTGAAACGTCGCAGCCGCCGCTCGGGCCGGCAGTGCATCTGTCCGCTGCGCGTCTTTTGTCGCCCTCGCTCTCTATTGTTGTCTGCGCGGCGCATTAAATGTCCCGTTTGTTTACTTACTTCCGTTGCTCTTCTCGGCGCTTTCGATGTAGCTGGCCGCCTCCAGCAGCACTTGCACGTTCCGCATGAAAGTCCCGATCTGGTCCATTGCGGAACATTCGGAGTAGAAAGCGTCGCTGAGAGCGCAGCCGGACATCTCTCCGAATCTCCCCCGCTGCTCCTTGGACGCGTCAGGCTCCGACAGGACCTCTTCGCTTCTCAGCTCGCTGCTATGCTGTCGAATGTACTTTACCATTTTACCCCCTTTTATTTCCCCCTCCTTTCACTGAAGGCTTTTTTTTATTATTATTGCTATTGTGGGGAAGAGCTTGCGCAGAAATGTGCTCCCCTTGTCCCGTGTGCGTGCGTGAGCGTGTGTGTGCTCAGAGCGGATAACTGAAATGAACCAGGCTGGATGGAATTGCAGTCCTTAGCCTTAGCCACTTGCCCTACTTGGTGGATAATCCCTCCCACTAACGCATGCACATTGCATTCATTGTCAACTGTTCCATAATAAATCCTCATTATCAATACTGCAGGAGAACGACAAAATGCAACTATAAAAAGACTGCTTCAGCTTGCAGAAAAGCCACTTTACTACATCAAAAAAAAATCATTTTTTAAAATTATTTTATTTATTTATTTTTTGTGCACACTGATTTCTAAGTAATTTAGTGCCACAGTATGAGTTCAACTTGAATGTCATCTGCAGCCATGACAGTCAATATTCAAATACCTTGTGGGGAAAAAATCCATAGCCATTTATCTGACATTAATCCAGACAAAACCTTTGCTATTTTTGGTCTGTTTGTTTCTAGTAGATAAACACTAGAATGATAAACAAAACGTTTTCTGTCTTCAAACTCCTGAAACAATGTTCTTGTTTGTTGTTGTTGCTGTTCTAATTTCCTTAAACTGCATAATTTGGCTTAACTATTATTGCTGTCCTTCTGCAAGCTTCTCTCTATAGTTTGCTTGAGTTTTGACAGAACCGGTGTAACTGAGTGACGTTTACAGGCACACACAACTTTATCGCCTCTATCCACAAATTCTCCATAAGTGGTCAGGGTTTTGTGATAGCCATTTCAAAAATATTGAGTACTTTTGTGATATATTCAGTCATTTTTTTGTTTGGAAGACCAATTTGTGCCTAAGCAACAACTTCCTGAAGAAAGTTCAAACAAATATATTTCCAAAGGTTCAAAAGTTTCTTTTTGACCTTTACCTATGCAAAGGCAAAAAAGAAAGCAAACATTTTGTTGACTTTGCTGTGCACGTTTGTGAAGAGCAGTCTCCGACATCCATCAAAAGCAAAGTGCCTGTAACCACATCTGGCGTTAGTGAACACTGTGATTGCTTCGTCCAGCTGAGAACTGCAGGATCACTTGATTTCAGCTAGGACAGGTTTGCAAGTGCATCAGTTACTCACAATTTATACACAGTTACAAAAAAAAAAACAACATTCTATTTCTAGAGATATTTTAGCAAAAGTCATTTATAAGCATAAGCCGTGGCATAAACAGAATTGAAAAGAAATCTGTTTTTGCCACAAGCTTTCTAGAACTGTTTATAAGTAAATAAAGAAGTATTAGTCTTTTTCTTTAGGACTTGCTAAACATAGAACCAACCTCCAATACTGGGGTTCTCTTTGTGTCTTGGAGTTGGATTTTCCAAATTTCTAGTCAGAATAAAACAAGAAGGGTCCCTTAAAGTTGGAGTTCTGACTGGTGGAGTTGGAGTTCCAGGAACACCACTGACATTGAATCCAATATGGCTACTGTGGAAGATGTGGTAAAAGCTGCAGGTATAAATTATTTATCATCTCTTCTGATGATTGCTATCTCATTAAAGCAGTGGGAAATAGTGCAGTTCAATCCCTTAAGTATTTAATTTCATAAAATGAAGAGAAATACATACCTATTGATGATTGCTAATCGCCACAACTAATTGCAAGTCTCAGGGATTTTTCCAACTTGCAAATGGAACACAATCCGTTGGTGTGATTTTTGACTTCAGAGACACAACAAACACAGTCTATTTGTAAAGGGCACAGACAGAAGTGTACCATCCAAATGAAATTCAGCCTTACACCTTGCATGGTCTTGGGACAGCACTTGAAACTTGCTGGTGTTATTCTTATCATACTCGGGGCTAAGTTTGTGACATCACCATTTTTAAATAGTGGCTTGTTAGCTGTTTGCTAAAAATCCCCCAAAATTTAAACACTATACAGTGATGTAGTTTTTTATGTATTCTTCATAACAATATGAAATACAGTACTGTCAAATCATCCACACAACTATGTCACCCATAACAGCCAGCTAGATTTTTTTTGTTTTGTTTTTACTCCTAGATGCTCTCCTTGTCTAATTATCAAATGACTGCTTTCTCAGATTCAAACCAGAATCCTTTTATGCATTCAGAGCAGATTATTACTCTTTACAAGGCTGAGAAAACTTGAATCTTGACAGCATACCATAGAACTTCTATGTGGGTTAGGTTAGAAGACTTTGATAATGCTGGCCAATCAAGAACTGGAACACTGAGCTAGCTTTTGGTACCTTTGGTACTGGCAGTATGGGAGACACCAGCTAGAAAATGAAATCAGTATGTCCATTAATTAATCAGCAGAATGAAGGATGAAGGGCTGTAGCATTTCCTCACTGATGGCTATGACTGTGGCTTTCATAAAACACAGTGGATTAACTTGAAATGAACTCTGTGACATTTGTATCCCATATGTGGATTCATCTATACAGACTGGTCCCAATCTCAGTCCTTATTAGGCTTCTAAGAATTTTGGTATGGATTTTGCTGGACAATTGTCACATGGTTCTCCCGGTTGCACATTTCCCTATCAGACATTTTCCTTACACTCAACTTCCTATTGATATGCTTGAATACCGCACTCTGTGAACATCTTGCTTCATTAGCAATGAAGTTTTGTATCTTACTCTCATTGTGGATGATATATGTGACTGCCTCCTTGACATCTTTGTAGTCAAAAGGTATTATGGCGATTATGTAACATTTGTATATTGAAAATGTTTTTTTAAAATTGGCTTTGTGTTATGTAAAAATTTCTGAGACACTAAATTTAGGGTTTTCATTATCTATAAATTTGAAACCTGGAACAATATGCTTAATATAAATACTAGATGAGTTCCACTTTCTGAAGTGAGTGACACAGTACACTAAGCTTTTTCACTATTTTCACATTTTTAAAAAATGTACCCTTTGCTAATATTTTTTGCTTTACTTGATGTTCTCAAAACCCTTCAAGTTACAATTGTGATGGAAAAAAACATTGCAAAGTTGTGAAAGTATATTCAATATATCAATGAGCAGAACCCATCCTTTCCATCATCTCCCTGTGTCTGATAGTGACAATGACCTCACTGATGTTTACTGTTATCTCCTGTTTAATAAAGCTAACCTTGAAATGAAAGCTCTTTTCAGTTTGATGTCTGCTTGCGGTTTGTTTCTTTTGTGAGATTAAGAAGTCATGTTCCCTCTCGCTACGATAGATGGCAGAGAGCAGAGGGGAAAGGGACTGGCTGCCTTTACGAGGCCAGCCATGCGTGCACGACCGTGTTGTGGCTCTGAGACAATAGGTGCAGATGGCTCGCCTGCTGCAGATGTGGCCAGGCCTGTAATGGACGCCCGAGTGAAAGAGAGTTCACCCTCCCATGGAGCTTATATCAGCCGCCTGGTGAGGCCTGGAGCCCTGATACCTCATAATGTGGTCAATAAAGGCAAAGATGGCAATTTGCATTTGTGCCGGTGTGCACGTTTAAAAACTCCACTTCACAGAGTTTTCACTGCTGCAGCAGCTCTGATGTGTGTAACTCAGACGTCACCCTCTGCTCCTACAGCTCTCTCGCCAGTGAGCTCAAAAGGACAGATTTGCACCAAGAGATCAGTGGGGGAGGGAACCTAACAGCGTTTCACCAGAAAAAGCTTCATCTGTGCTGTGAGGCTTGTGTGCCAACTGGCTGAGTGATAGCAGGGAGTGGAAAGCTGACCCGCTGTAGGTTGGTGTAGAATGTGACCCCAACTGGAGTAATCTGAAAAGCCTTAGGATTACACCAGTGGCTCGGCTGTCATCATAGAAGAGGCAAAGACACAGTGCTGCTTATTTTTTAAACTGAAGACACATCACCTACCTACCTACCTACCTACCTACCTACCTACCTACCTACCTACCTACCTACCTACCTACCTACCTACCTACCTACCTACCTACCTACCTACCTCTCTGTCTGTCTGTCTGTCTGTCTGTCTGTCTGTCTGTCTGTCTGTCTGTCTGTCTGTCTGTCTGTCTGTCTGTCTGTCTGTCTGTCTGTCTGTCTGTCTGTCTGTCTGTCTATCTATCTATCTATCTATCTATCTATCTATCTATCTATCTATCTATCTATCTATCTATCTATCTATCTATCTATCTATCTATCTATCTATCTATCTATCTATCTATCTATCTATCTATCTATCTATCTATCTATCTATCTGTCTATCTATCTATCTATCTATCTATCTATCTATCTATCTATCTATCTATCTATCTATCTATCTATCTATCTATCTATCTATCTATCTATCTATCTATCTATCTATCTATCTATCTATCTATCTATCTATCTATCTATCTATCTATCTATCTATCTATCTATCTATCTATCTATCTATCTATCTATCTATCCTCTACCTTGTCTCAGAAAAACATAACTAAGTTTTAACCCATTCCACTGTGACTCATCCTATAGCTTTTAATGATTGTCGTCCCTACACAGAATGGGACAAAGGATGAGTCGTGCTCATTGAGATATTAAATACACTTTCATAACTTTGCTATGTTCTTGCCGTCATTACAGGAGTTTAGGATGCTTTGAGAATATATATTTATATACAAAAGGTTTTCTTCTAGGATTGCCATCCTCACTTCAGTTGTGAACAGTTTCCTTGTCCTTACTGAGGCGTAGAGTGTTGAGGGAAAGGTATTTTGCATGTTGGCCCAAAAAGTCAGACCTTGAGTTGATCTATCATCTTCAACATGTTTACTATTCAACTTGTGGAAAACTACAAATGACGCATTGTGGCTCTCTTTTAATAGATCATCCTATCTTATGGATCTCTGCTGCTCTTCCAGAGTCGTCACGTTGGCTGCTTCTTTCCTTAATGATCATTAATGATTGGTAAGTTTCCAGCTATGCTATGCGCTTTATGATTTCTGGATTATTGATTGAACCCGGCATTATGAGGTGCTCAACATTTGGGAACTTTAGTTCTTGGTTTCAGTGATGCTTTAATTTTCTCTTTCAAATCTCAGTACCTTCATAAAACAGCTTTATTAATTAATTACAAATGCTTAAATAAGTTTTT